CCCGAATCAATATCGAAATGGAATAGTTTAATTCGATATCGATACACGTCAAGTGTCAAGAAGTTTTGTATGGAAATTTGAACAGCGCTACAACCGATGTAACTAAAATAAAAAATATTCCATACAAAATTCTTGACATTTGACGCGTATCGAGATTGAATTGCACTATTGGAATTCGATATTGATTCGTACTAAAGGTAAGGGGAATATACTAATAGCGTAGAGTGGTGGGGTGAGATAAAGCGCCCCTTAAAAGGTCCAAATGCATTGTATTAAATCAAACTGCAAAAAGCAATATGACCTGAAACCTGAATTAAAACAAAAAGAAATGAGTCACGATATGTATGCATCAGTTTCAATAATGAGTATCTTTTTAAATTTTAAATAGGTATTCAGACAATTGGTAACAACTAAATAGTTGTTTTCAACGTATCACTAAACAGTAACTTATCAGGAGATATATCGCTCCCACCTCCCTAAATAGCACAAATTTATACAGTTCAACCGGATTTGTGCCAATTGTTATTCATAATTGTAAATCGTATGCGTGTTTCTGTTTGCTGGACATTCCGCAATCACATCCAATACCGACATTGTAATCAATATAGGCTATTTGCGCCCTCGATATTAGCTTTTGCCTATGAATAATAAACTGTTTAGGTGTATCCTGATTTCCGCAATTACATAGGCAATTAGTTACTTACAAACCGCAAGATTGTCGATCTCGTTTACTCTGATGTCTTTACTAATTTAATTTGATTAAAACAGCCCTCTTGTTTACAAGATGAAGAAGTTCTCTGCGAACACAGAAATGGGTTTAATACTACGTCATAAAGTCTAACAGTATCATAACTGTATACACCGTAAATTTTAACGCAAGCTAGTTAAGTACCTAGCATAAGTATGCTATCATGATCCTTTTGTAATATAAGAATCGATAGGCAATCAAAATTTAAAAACAAAACTTTTATTGTCGATTCTGTGACTCTGTGTTACTAAAGTAACGGCGAAACGATATTGCTTTTTCACTGTCATTCGATATACACTTTTTTAATCTATTGGTTTCCATTTCATTTATTATGAAACAGCTATCAGTAAAAAAGTGGATTCAATGCACTATGGTATGATTATCATGTTTCTGATATCACAAAAGGATTATTGGGAAGTCGAAACAACTATTGTGTGATGAATAATCCGATTATGTCAAAACATTATTAGAATACACAGATTTTTATTTCATATCTACTAATATTATAAAGAGGAAAGATTTGTTTGTTTTTTTGTATAGAATAGGCTCCGAAACTACAGGACCAATTCGAAAAATTCTTTCACATTTAGAATTCTTCAACAGTCCTTGCTGAGTTTCTTGTCGGTTCTTCTCAGTACAAGATCTCCCGTCGTAGATTTGCGAACCGATGGCGTAGCTTTAGAATTTCACATGTGCTTGTAAAAGCCTAAACTGAATAAATGAATATTGAAATGAAAACTTTTAAAGGTAAACAATTCCGTCTTATATGATTTTTGATTAACTTTATCCGTTTACCCAACGCACGCAACGGAAGCTCGCAAATGGAATATATTTACCCGTTTTTGCAACATTTTTTTTCGATGCTCCGCTCCTACTGTTTCTAGCGTGATGTTATATAGCCTAAAGCGGTTCTCGATTAGTGCACTATCCTAAAAAAAAGAAGTTTTTCAAATGGGACCAGTATTTTCTGATATTAGCGCGTTCAACCAAAGTTTCACTATCAGTTAAATTTTCCTTTTTTTCATGGAAGGTTTATAATTATATAAAGAAAGTCATCGTGTATAATACAGCCTTGAGAACAAAAACTTTGTTCTGCACTACAGGTCTATACCGAAGCGAGGCAAGGGCGGCCCACTAGTATCAAGTAATGCCGTTAATATTTTAGACTTACTACTAGATGGCGCAGATGATTAGCGCGTTCGGCTTGGGCAATGATCAGTCATTGGATGGGCGGTCAAAAACTTATTATCTAGAACTCCTCCGCTTCAGAATGCACGATAAGTGGTTGGTGCCGGATGCATCTGCAGTCGTTAGCAGCCACTAATCCACACTGTGCCTGCGTGGTAGGTCATTGCCCAATCTCCCTATTCTATCCATAGGGAAGGCCTGGCCCCAGCATCCCCCCACGACAACGGCTAACTAGAGCCGGGTCCCAGAGACGCCCTCAAGTTGCGCCAACCCCCTTAGGTTTGAGTGGTCTAGAGGCTACAGACGGAGAGGAGACTCCCCCCATAGGGAGATGCCATCCGCCTAGAATACCTCAAGAGGCACTCGCCAAGTCTCGGCTTGAAGTCCCCTTAGGATCTCGCTTTCGCCATACCCGGTGACGCTGTAAAGGTCATCTACGCCCAACAGCAGCAACACTTAAAAAAGGGAACTAGCTGGGGACAACAAAATTTTTAGGCCGATGATGATGGCTTGTAGAAGAACTTAACTATAATTAATTTAACGTGCCTTGAATAACTATGCAATGCAAAATTGTGGCATATCAAATTTGTATTTGTAGCAAAACTCCTCCGAAACGGCTTGATCGGTTCTTATGATATTTTGTGTGATATTTAGTAGGTTTGAGAATAGGACGTTAACTATTGTGATAAGGGTAGTCCATTTTTTAAGAGTCTTATATTTTTTCATGATACGGTATTAAAAATACATCCAACTTTAAATTTTCACCCTTTTTCACCCTTCTACCACCAATTCCTATTTTATCGGTCGGCTAGTAGTTTTATAAAACATTTTTATGACAGTTAAAAAATATGAAGTATTTAGGTACTGAAAAAATAAAGAAAAAGAAATGACATGAATGACATGAAATGAATGATAAAATTATTTTTAATTGAACTTATTTTTTTTTTATGAAAAGGCAAGTGAAACTTAGTTCATGCTGACTCACTTATTCCGTATTTTTTCGTGGAGTTTTAGCGCTTATTTGCCCTACTTCTCAATGACCAAAAGTTTTCAATAGCTAATTCACATTCTAAATTTTAGTGGTTTTGTTTTTAAAAAGTGGTTTTATTTTGTTTGATTATTGAATGGTAAGTTAAAAACAACAATTAATGTAAAGTAAGTCAATCGGCTTCTTTGAAGCTGGTCAACCTATACAAAACTGTCAAAATTCTCCAATCAATTTTTAGCCTTAGTTATAACAATAAAGGTTCAAAATCTAAAATTTAGACTGATGTGTTGTCCTAACGACCTACGAATGTCCTCGTGTCCGAATATAAATGCATCAAAAGTCGATTTATTTCAATAATTTTGTAGGACAGTACAGAACCCTTCGTATTTTGCGACCGACACACACTCTACTCGATCAATTTATTAAATTATTAAGCTTCCGGTGTCCGACTAATCGTTTGTCCGTTTATCAGCGGCTAAATCATATAAACCCTAGTAAAGTTCGATAATTGAATTTCTAACAGAGTACATATTTAAACAATTTTATCAACAAGTTTACTTATTTAATATTTATAAATTGTAATGCTATGGCCACACTGCCGCGGTATCGCAAACATTTTTCGTTTTCATGACAAGTCGGGGCAAGTTGCTTGGTTTGCTGCATCGTGAAACTGGGAAATTTTTGCGATAGTGCAACAGGGTGGTCGTAGTATAAGAGTAAAAAAAACGTCGTCGTCACCACAATATATTTGGAAAGAGTCTATATTTCAAGCAATTACTTCATATAAGTCACTTTTAATGTTTTCTTCTAAGGAATTTTTATTGGGTCAGAAATTTTCTAATACATAAATAAGTTGAACGACTAATTACCCTTAAACTAATAAATCTTTTTTAACCATTAAAATTTTCCTTTAAAGTTCATGAAAAGCACTATTATCATGATTTTTTCCAGGTTTTTCAAGTTACACAACGTTTCGCCCTACACGAACAAAAGCACTTTTAAGTTCAATATTTCGCAAATAGATCCCTAAATCGAAAAATTGTCCTAGGAAACCCTGAGTAATAGACGATAAAAAAAAACATCCAGGGTACATGTAGGGGAGCTACCCTAAAAAAATATTTTAAAAATTTTATTCTACCGTTTTGTGGGCATGATTGATATACATATCTTCACAAAATTACAGCTCTCTAGTGCTTACAGTCTCCAAGCAAAACCGGGGACGAACAGAGAGACGGACATGATGAAACTATAAGGGTTCCTTGTCAGGACTACGGAAATCTAAAAAAGCAGGCAGCTCTACGATTGGAATATATCAAGTAAAATAAATCGAAAAATCATGTACAACGTACCTACTAAGTACCCCTTTTTTCATCTACTTACTTGTTTATCTACTATGTACCCCATTATAATTTGGGATATCCAATCATATAAGTTAAGCACAAGTCATCGGATGGATGACCAAAAACCTTTTTTTTATTTCGAGTTCCTCCGTGCTTCGGAATGCACGTAAATCTTTTGATCCCGGCTGCATCTGCAGTCCACTAATCCACAATGGGCCCGCGTCACGGCCCAATCTCCCTATTCCAATCGTAGGAAGACCTAAGCAGTAGGGACATCATTAAGTTGTTGATGATGATTATCAACATGATGATAGCTATAGTCATAGATGAATGATTGTCAATCATAGCTATAGTATTTATTACAAACGTAAAGTATGTATCGTCATAAGCAAATTTAACAAACAATAGAAAATAAATTGCGCATCTGAAAATGTTTTCATTATGTATTTTGAGTCAAATAATAAATGATTAATGTACCTATCACAGCTTCCGCTATATCAAGTTACCTAACCCAGGCTCATACGTTGACAACAATAGTGCCCAATGTCACCATAAAAAGTGTAGCGTCGTTTCTACTCTGAGTTGTTTAGTAAGGGCGCATGCGTGCAGCTTCTGTGCTATCCCTCTTGTCGCACCGACACACGTGTTGAACGACTTTCGACCCAATCATGTTTGAGATTCAGCTGTTTTTCGCGTGATATCTAAACAGAACTGAATTTCAACGCTAGACGGAATGGCAATAAGCTTCCAGGACTCAGATTTTTTAGATGTCTCCCGTTCGTGACGAAGGCAACACGCATCTCGCGCGTGCAATTCCTCTTCCGATATTGTTACGTACGCAATTCTGAGAGACGCTCAAGTATTTTATATCAGTGACAGTTCAAGTGTTTTATTGTTGTGGGATGGTGGTACTTTTTGTGATCAAAGTTTGGAGAGATCGGATTTGATTGCCCGACGAGACGTAAGTTTCAAATTGTTTACGTTCAAAGTTTACTTTTGGATTTCTGAGACGTAAGCGCGTTAGAGAAACGGCCGTTGCTCTTTGTACTTTTCAAACTAAGTTTCTTTGAATTTTTTTATGTATCAGTGATTTTGTTTTAATAATAGAAATACAAAAAAAAAATATAGTTAAATTGGGACCCTTTTTTTAAAAAACAAAATAGCTAAAGTTATTTACAAAAATAACTTTTGCTATTTTGTTTTTTTCGAATACTAAAATATTTTTATTGCACTGGAGAGTAATAAAAATGGGTCGATTGAATGTTTTCTATGATTTATTTTATTGTATTTTGTGATTTGAAATGTAATTCAAAACTTGTTTTAGTAAATACAATCATATTCTGAATAAGTTTCTATCTATATGTAAAGTCACATGAAAAAACACGATATTCCTCTGCCAAAATGCGAATAAAAAGTCATCGCAGTTGAGAGACTTTTTGAAAAAAAGGTTTTTTCACAGAATGGTCTCCAGACTGCAATTACTTAAAAAACTTTTTATTGAGTAATTGAATTTTCCTTTTTCTTTTATCTATGCAATTATGTATTTTATTAAACAATAATGGCTAATGTTACTCCACACGATAATGTACCTAAGGGTTCCTTGGATATTCTTTTTCAAAGTCAGTCAAGCTGTTTAGACTGTGAAAGAAATACATCATCATCATAACCCTCCTTCTGGTGCAGTCAAGTCAAAATATCAATAGGAATTGACTGAAATCCTAAATATGTAGTATTATAAATGCAAAAGTGTTTGCTTGTGTGAAAGTTTGTTTGCTTACACACCTAACTTTTTTTCTTCGTCTATCTAAAGTCTAAGAAAAAGGAAGATTACCACAAAAACATTGGTCACGTATTTGTTGTTTGTACACAGAATTAAATAATAGCAGAGATACATTGATATGAAATTGTTTAGTAATGATTTAGTTTAAATGTTACATACTTACCTAACAATTTGATTTGAAGATGGTTGTTTTTTGCTTTCTTATATTGCCCGATCCAAACAAACTAATGCAAAACTCGAATTAAAGCACTGTATAATATAACATGGTTTACTACTATTTTTAATAAGTGATGTGGGAGGAAGTGACAAAAAATTGGTAATTGTCCTTTAAAGAACACCAACAATGTACTTTTTAGTTATTAATGAAAGTGTTTCATAATGAGAAATACATATTACAACACGAATGAGGATTTATCACACGAGGTGAAGCCGAGTGTCACAAGTAACACATGAGTGTTTTAATACTTATTATAAAAAGTTGCATAGAAGTCTTTATTTACAACCATGATAAGAATCCTCTAAAAAGGATTATTTAAAAATCATGGGAGCTTCTAAGAACTTAAAATTCATGAAAAGTTTCGACGATAAAATTGTCGCATGACGTCAAGTCTTGGTACCTAATTTTAACTCACGAGTCCCCGTTACTCCCAAACTTTGACGTGCTTTATCATTTTATTTTTTGGTTTAGTGGCAAAAGAAAAAATGTGGTAATTACTCAAATCCAGAATTTAAAAAATGATAAGATTTTTTCAAGTAGGTACAAACTCGTTATAGATAGCTTATTCGAAAAAGTAGAGTGTAACGCATTTTCATCTCCATTTTGGCCATAATAAAAACGCCTTATCCAGTACGGGGGGCTGTGTTTATCACGCTTCAATTGTAGTTTCATATTAAAGACACAAAATACCATACCAACCGAAAGTTTCTTGTATGTAGGATTCCAGTTAATTCTTAATTTATTAAAAAGTAATACTTGTTCTCTGGCAATTTTTACTTTTTACCTATTACGGTTGATGGAATTCAGCATGCTGAAAAACAGATGGATAAACGGATATTCTGTTGCCATCTCTTCAGTACGGAACCTTGTTAAAATGAATACTGACTTACTTGACTACAATGTAATTATCTAATCGTACAGATACAGACCAAACTCACTATGTACTCAACATCACTACGAATCTAAGGCCGCGTTGCTTTATCTTTAGTTATATTTGACTATAAAATTGAATACTAGAGAAAAAACACCATTTGCCAAAAATTTTACATTTTCTATGTATTTAATTACATTAACAATAGTCAAATTAAACTATGTTTTAAACAACGCGGCATAAGTGGTTACTACTGCAATTTATTGATTTGTACATTAAACTGTTGTAACCACTTCAGTAAAGACTATAAATATTCAATAGATTCATACGTAAGTATACCATAAAAGCAATTTTCGTCAATGATTAGCTGTCACAAGTTATTTGTTAAAATTATTCTCTTTGAACTGACAGCATTACCGGGAAAAACAAAACAAAAGTGAGAAATTGCTTATTGTATAAAAGCCTATTGAGAATTGAGTGGATACAAATTTATAAATAGGAAATATCACACAATTACGAAATTTATTAACATAATATTTTAATACTATTTTCACTAATGGTAGGGGAGCCCAAGCTAAGATTTTGGATTTACTCGAGCGCGGTAGAATAACACAAGGGGGACAACCTTGCAGCTCGTGCAGTACTCCCACCATACCTGAGCCCTCTATGTAGAGCCAAATTTCTAGAGTAGGAAAAAAAATTTCAACAAGCGGCCATGACTTTTGGTCGCCTCCAAATCTTAGCGTCTTATGAATCTCCTATTCATACTACTGGATGATTCACCTTATGTTAATCTGTCGCGCTCGAGTAAATCCAAAAATCCCCGCTGGGGCTCCCGTACTATAATATTGTAATAGGTACGGGTCGAATTGATTACCTTATTAATTGAAACTCAGTTAAAAGGATTTGCGAAATAGTTGCCATCACTGGTAAGACCAGAAAATCGGGGTTTAAGAGTATTATCAAGTTTTCACGAGCAAGCACCAGCAATCAAGATCGAAGCTTCACGAAATATTCTCGTTCTCCACTATCCTCTAACAAATAGACCAATGAGCCAGTGGAATTGCGAGTCGAGGCAACAAATTGAGTTACAGCGTATTTTTCTCGACCAGAATTCGAAGGTTCCGCCGAACGAACGAAGCCCGGCTAATTACAATTTATGTAAGACGTATAGCTACGCTGATTCTTGTAAATAATGCTGCGAGCGGATGAGCACGCGAATCATAATTAAAATCTACCGCCGACTGTACGTGGAGGCGAAAACTCCGCCGGTTAAATTTTTCGTTGCACTTTTATTTTTTATTCTCAACGTTTACTGGTGTAAAACGTGAGTTCATATGATGTTTCAAATAGTTGTTTACCGGTCTGCGATCGTTTAAACTCCTTTATTTACTATAGACAAGTATTGAGAACATAACCATTAAGCCGAGCCAATAAATTTGTTTATCTACACCCATGCTTTAAAACCTCTATAAAAGATTCTGAAACAGCTTATTGCCAACATGTAAACATCCAATGTCCTAATTAAAGTTGTACTTAATTTTATTCACAATAACTTTTGCTTTTTGATCTCTTCCGCACAAAGGTTCTACTCATCAGACAGCCACAATTATTGCTCGATGCGTGGTGGAATTAAAAAAAGAAAATTGTCATTCACTCGTGTTATTACTACCACAGCGTCGAAACTTTTCATGAATTTTAAGTTCTTAGAAGGCCCTATGATTTCAAAATCTTTTTTAGAGGATTTTTATTATGGTTATTAATAAAGACTTATGCAACTGTTTATAATAAGTATTAAAACACTCATGTGTTATAAGTGATACTCGGCTTCACCTCGTGTGATATATTCACATTCGTGTTGTAATTATGCAACAGTTTCATTGATAACTTATAGTTACATACAGTACAGTAAATTGTTTATGTTCTTTAAAGGACATTTAACAATTTTTTGTAACTTCCACCCACATCACTTATAAAAAATAGTAGTAAAACACCTTATACCATACAGAGCTTTAATTTGAGTTGTTTGGATCGGGCAAAATAAGAAAGCAAAAAACAACCATCTTAAAATCATATTGTTAGGTAAGTACATATGTTACATTTATACTAAAGCGGCCTACTGACATGCCTACCGCAGGGACAATCTAGGGTGCACGGCGGTCGGGGCAATATCGGCTTATCTCTACACACATGCCTGCTATTCAGTGTTCGGGGGTATGTTGAGCTCAACACACGCGTTGATGATGGTTCCAGTGTTATCAAAAAATCAGAAGATTGGTAGGCATGCTATGGTGGTTTTCTATGGTGTTACCGCAAAAAAAGAAATACTGGGTGAAGACTTCGCTATCCGGGCGAATGCACTGATCAATTATGCTAACGCGGCCCTGACGGCCGCATAGAATTCTTTCTAGCCTTTCTTAAGCTGCAAGGCAGCGCCATCTCTTCGCATTATAAGTAACCCACAATGTCAAATGAATACCTTTACAAGTATGGACATTTGAAAGAAGAAATAGCAATTAAAGTTACAATTTTATTTTTTTAAGCATATAACTGTTCAATGTTTGAATCTAAAGAAAATATTACAAGAAAAATGAAAAAAAAACATTTTTTTTTCTAGTAATATTTTCTTTAGATTTAAACATCGAGCAGTTACATACAACTACATAAAAAATAAATATTATTAAAAAAAAATATAAATGATGTTTGTTTTTTTATCCTACATGTGGGGCCGGTTTTTATATACTTCGATCACTCGTGTCCAAACTTCATGCTCATTATGATCTGCCGCCATCTTGATCGAAATACGTGCGCTCCGTGTAACAGCTTCCAACCGACTGATTAAAAAATTGCCCCAATCGCGCTACACATGCGGCAACGTGCAGGGCGGCAGGGACAATCTAGGGACCAAGGGTGGTCTCGCGCTCCTGTCGCCCTGCCGCAGCCCCGATTTAGAAAATTGCCCCTGCTTGCCTGCCCACATCACAATTCAGGAGGCAATTAAGGGTCATCCCCACTCTTACACCCTAGATTGTCCCTGCGGCAGGCATGTCAGTAGGCCGCTTAAAACAGGCATAACATCGGACATTCGGCAAG